CGATTTGGCCACCAGGGTTGTTTTTAATTTGCCACAAGAAGGCAAATATTTGGCTTTTCTGATAATGACAAATGTAATTTAGCGTTCACATGATTTGTCTATGAATTTTACAAATTTTTAGCCAAATGTACAAATTTTGTGATCCCAGCTTTACACACGTGTGTCTCACACTATTTCTGCTTTCACTGCTCTTTCTGCATTGATCTGCTTAGACAAAGCGTACTGCATTCTACTCCCACGCATCGCAAGCACCACGCTCCCCCACTCTCTTTAATTTTTGATCTGCGTTTGCTTATTTCTCGCACTACAAGCAATTACATAAAATAACCATATTTTTAACTGGTACTATGATATGCACATATGTATGTACATATGTGTATTTACAAGCATACATAGTTATGTACATTGGGTTAAATAGGTAAAGCAAGTATTCTTCAGATTCGAAGTATTAGAAAGACTAAGAATGTTTTTTCCGAAATATACACCAAAAACCCTTCCTCAAAAATGTTCAAATTTTGAAACTCAAATATTAACGACAAACACCACGGGAGCCGTTTCTTGTCCTCTATGTAAGAGTCCTCACTCTATAAAAAAATGCCAAAGGTTTAAAAACCTCTGCCCTCAAGACCGCATAAAACTCATACAAGAAAATAATATGTGCCAAAACTGCCTTGCTTTCTCTCATAGCATGGTTGAGTGCAGATCACGATACACGTGTAACTATTGCCGAAAATGGCATAACTCGCTACTACATGTCCATTCACTCAAAGGCCAATCCCAAATGGCCACGAAAAAGGAAAATGCCAAGAAATCGATTACTCGGAATCGAGATATGTTCACCTCCGACCAAAGGATACAACCAACTAACCGGCACAAAACGACTTTCGCTCAGCATGCGAAAATCCATGTGGACACTCTCGAACCATATGCTCAAACCGTCAATATAGATCTGGATCCACTTGTATGCTCTAAGGATGTTACTACTTACTCACATGTGATTAAGAAAGTCCATCAAGAATTAGTGGCCAACCGCAAAAATCAACCACTCAAAGGTGCAAGGCGAAAGTCATCACAACCGATCGAAAAACCCAATCTCACATGGAAAACGATGAGTAGCCCCTCTGCACAAAATACGCCCATCAAAAATCTTGGGTTATGTGCGAAGAATCGCCAAGTCCTAACCTTAACCCCAAGCTCAACTCTACTTACAGAACACTCGACTCACCCTATTGAACATTATCTTATAACTCAAAAGGATTATCAAAAAATACAGCCCCTTCTTCTGTATTCTTCTTAATGTCCTTTCATTTCAGAAAACGGGAATCATACTCCACATAACGGGAATAAAGCAGAGGCTATACACGACACGCGACAAATCCAGCACGTCCCACCAACCCTGCGTAACAGCATCCTTCTTTACTCTGAACTTTAGAAGAGCGATCATCCGAAGACTACAAACTGCAGAATGTACTATGCAGTGCATTCCTGCAGGGGTCCCCAGGATGTTGAAGATTGTGCTTCAATATGAGTTAAGGCGCACCCTAATGTTCTTCTTAGGAGTTGACGTTGCTACTAGTAAGCAGGCCTATGTGCGTGCGCACAATACGCACTCAAAGTTATACAGTCCACTCAAGAGCACGCGTATCTCGCTATTCCATCCCTATTCCATTTTTAATTAAAGTCCGGATTTTATTTATCTACATACTATGTACACCTATTCCATTAAAATAAATGTAATATTTTCCCCTTAAACCTGAAAACGTGTGCGTTTTTAAATCGAAGGTACCATCTCGCCGGAACTTTTGACAAAACAACTTCTCTTGAGTGAGGTCATTTTCTCCTCAAAGCTATAATTCATTGAATTGTCGAATGATATTTTTATGTTCAGTTACTAATAGGTGTAGTTCAAGATGCTATCTCAATGAAAGTTAAATAACAATGTGACATGCAGATATGTATGTATGTACATATATAGTTTTTGTATGGTTGGGGACAATGAAAACCACTGCGGAATGAAAAAGACTACGAAGTAAACTTATTTTACGTTTTCTCATAAATTTACGATTTCTGATCGTATTTATGAGTTCTCGTTAACAGCGTACTTTTACTTTTACATGTTCTCATTATTAATTTACGCATTCTCAATATAATAGGTTACAAGGTTTTATCGAGCGTATTGTGTGAAAGACTGAAGCCCACCGTCAATGAACTGATTGGGCCTTATCAGTGTGGCTTTAGACCTGGCAAATCCACCATAGACCAGGTATTCACAATACGCCAAATCTTGGAAAAGACCCGCGAGAAAAGGATCGACACTCACCACCTATTTGTCGACTTTAAAGCCGCTTTTGACAGCACTAAAAGGAGTTGCCTATACGCCGCTATGTCTGAATTTGGCATCCCCTCAAAACTCATACGGCTGTGTAAAATGACGTTGAGCAATACCACCAGCTCCGTCAGAATTGGAAAAGACCTCTCCGAGCCGTTCGCCACAAAACGGGGTTTCAGACAGGGCGACTCCCTGTCATGTGGCTTCTTTAATCTGATGTTGGAGAAGATAATAAGAGCGGCAGAACTGGACCGCTCAGGAACAATTTACTACAAGAGCGTGCAATTGCTGGCTTATGCCGATGACATCGACATCATCGGTAACAAAAACCGCGAAGTCTGTTCTGCCTTTTCCAAGTTGGATAGGGAAGCAAAGCGCATGGGTCTGGTGGTAAACGAGGACAAGACGAAGTATCTCCTGTCATCAAACAAACAGTCAGCACATTCGCGCCTTGGCACCCACGTCACTGTTGACAGTTACAATTTCGAGAAAGTAGAGAATTTCGTTTACTTGGGAACCAGCATTAACACCGATAATAATGTCAGCATTGAAATCAAACGTAGAATCACTCTTGCCAACAAGTGCTACTTTGGACTGAGTAGGCAATTCAGGAGTAAAGTCCTCTCTCGACGTACGAAAACCACGCTCTATAAGTCACTCATCATGCCCGTGCTGGTATATGGCGCAGAAGCATGGACAATGACAACATCCGATGAGGCGGCTCTTGGGGTGTTTGAGAGAAAGATTTTGCGGAAGATTTACGGTCCTTTACGCGTTGGCGACGGCGAGTACCGCAGACGATGGAACGATGAGCTGTATGAGCTTTACAACGATATGGACATAGTGCAGCGAATTAAAATACAGCGGCTCCGCTGGCTTGGTCATGTCGTTCGAATGGACACCGACGCTCCAGCTCTGAAAGTATTCAACTCGGAACCCGCTGGTGGTAGCAGAGGAAGAGGGAGGCCCCCACTGCGATGGAAAGATCAGGTGGAGAAGGACTTGGCTTCACTTGGCGTTTCCAATTGGCGTCAGTTGGCACAGAGGAGAAACGACTGGCGTGCTTTGCTGAACTCGGCCAAAATCGCTTAGGCGGTTACAGCGCAAAAAAAAAGAAGAAGAAGAAGAATATAATTTATATTTTCTGAATACTAAGTTAGGTTTTTTCAATACAATATACGTGTTCTCATTATAAATTTACGTATTCTCATTATAATTTACGTTTTCCCATTACCCGATTAAAAAGCTATAGTGAATCGCATTGCATGTGCTTCTACATATCGTTACCTTAATTCACAAAAGACCTAACCAACAGTTTTTTTGACACTGTGTGTTTTCACACATTTTCGGAGGATATTTTAAAATACACCTTCAATAAAAATTTTGAAGTGTTAGTACCAAAAACAACGGAGTTACTTGCCACTTTTTAAAACTCCCTACCTGTTTTTGATACTCATTTTATAATGTTTTTGCTTCTCCTGTAAAATAAAAAATTTGCTGGGTGGGGCCTTTATGAATTAAGCTGACGATATTTATGTACATATACTATTATAATAGTCTTATCAAAATGAAATATATATATGTAACATTTAACAACCTTCATAACTTGCCCACCAGGTTTGAAATCGAATTCTTGAAACGTACATCTGTCAGCACGGTCGATGTAGGTTAACACAAATTTTTCACTGCTAACAGACAGTTTTTTTAATGAGTCAAATCTAGTCGCTGGATAAAAGTGTAAAATTTTCGGCTCATTTGGATTGGTGTTGTATTCCATAACTGCAAAATATAAAATTCGAAATAAGTAAATATAAAAAAGAAATTATTTAATCATAACTATTTACATATTTAAACTAATTATATAAAATTTATTATAGGGGGAATGTTTGTCCCGACTAATCTTAAAATATACTGAACCGATTTTATTTTATTTTTACTAAAACAGTGTATGTTGCTTATTTTTGTCTATTACAGCAAAAAAAATATAAAATATAAAAAAGTACATTAAGAGCAGGCAAAACACAAATAAGAACATACATACATACATGTATGTATTCACATATACATATAGTTTGATGGCAATAATATATGTAAACAAACAATTCGAACTCGATACAAAACAATACTGATAGTATTTACACTTAAACATTTTAAAACTTAATTGCTAAAAATCCATTAAATCAGACTAGCCTATCAAGAAATTTTATGAAATATATCCAAACCGATCGGAAATAACAACTGTAAAATAATTTTTTTTTTAATTATTAGTTGATGATCAATTTTTGGTATATTATTTTAGGTATTTCATAGGCTTATTGATCCCTTTTATGTGCAAGAAAACACTGTTCTTCACGTTTTTACCCGACGTTTCGCTAAATTCTTTAGCATCTTCAGGGGTGTTTTATTCTCCTTTTATTTTCACATCAACATACATATAAATAGACATACAATTTAAAATTAGTAATGACATAAAAAATGTGTGAACAGTTCTACAAACAATAATAAAAAACAATCACAGAATTTTAAAGGATTTTTAAAATTTTGCACTTACATATGAACACGAGTTTCAAAATTCACGTACATATATAAACAAATAACATAAAAGCTTAAACTAATTGGTCCGCATCGATACCAACGTCGTGTGGTACACTTGTCATACTGTTGATTTTAGCTATAAACATAATAAATAAGCAGTCGCGATGTCATCCGTGTCTTCCTTTTTGTTCATTGTCTTGTCCCTCTTCTGTAATATCCGTAAGCTTTCCAACGTGAATCTTGTTCTCTCCCTCTTTTCTTTGTCTATTATTTTCGTTTTAGTTAGATCAGCTGTGTGTCCGCTTGCTGATATGTGTTGTGATAGTGCCGTGTTGCTCTTGTTCTTCTTGATGTCCGCTTCATGCTCCGATAAGCGAACTGCAAGCGGTCTTTTTGTCGTTCCAATGTAAATTTTATTACACTTTTCGTTTTCACTTCCTTCGCATGTTATTTCGTACACTACGTTATTTTGTTGGTGGGGCTCTATTGGAGTTTTTGTTTTGGTAAATACTGAAGACAACGTGTGATTTGATCGGTATGCTAGTATTGTATTTTGGTTGCTAGTGTATTTCTTGCGATCAAATTTTTCGCTGAGTCTAGGTACGTATGTTACAATGTAGTAGCGTTTTGTCTCATTATTAGTTGTTGTGATCGTAGGGTTGTTGCGTTTGTCATTAATTTGTGTTGTTATTTGTTTAAATAGGCTATGAATTATGTGCTCCGCGTAGTTGTTACTTCTAAGAATGTTGAATATTTTCTTTATATTTGTGTCAAGAAATTGTTGATGGCTTATTTTTAGTATCTTATTAATTAAGTTCTCAGCAGTATTAATTTTGTACTTAGAGGGTTGTGACGACAAATAATTTATTAAACGTCCCGAGGATGTAGGTTTCGAATACCAGTCAATTATTAAAGAGTTATTTCTTCTATGGATCATAACGTCTAAAAATGGAATCCGGAAATTTTCCTCTGTTTCTATTGTGAACTGCAATTTTCGATGATATTTGTTGAGTGTTTTCAATATAATGTCCACATCCTTTCGTTTACCTATGGCAAAAATGTCATCAACATATTTTACTATAAATTGTATATCAATTTTATAGATTTCTTTAAGTTCTATCATAGTTGCGTTCAGTAAATCGTCCATTATAATGTCAGCAATAGTGGGTGAGAGAGGGTTTCCCATTGGCATTCCAAAGGTTTGAATGTAGAATTTTTCGTTGGACGCGAAATAATTATTATCCTTCAGGCAGAAATTAAGGATATTTAAAAATTTGTTTTTGGGGATGTTCGTCGACTGTTTTGTTGTGCTCCATTTGGCATTATGATATTAATGGCTAAGGGTATCGGAATGTTGGTAAACAACGATACCACATCAAAAGACACCAGTAATTCTTCCTCACTTACTTTTACTTTATCCAGTTTATCTTTTAATCTGAACGCATTTTTTAAATTGTATTCCTCAGAGATGAGATTACTGAGAATCTTACCTACATATTTGGACAAACCATAACACGGAACATTGATGGACGAACAAATTGGCCTTAAGGGCAAGTCAGGTTTGTGTATCTTTGGTAATCCGTAAATTCGTGGTGCAATCGCTGCTGTGCATACGAGTTGTTGTT